TACCATTCTGGGGGATCCTTTTTATAGCCATAGCATAATCGGCCCCAAAACCCTATTCTAATGATTAAAGCCCCTATATAACTCTCCTTGTAAGCCCTCATGGTTCCAACTAGTCTCGGCATCATCTGGCAGCCTGCGATATTGAAGTGTTCCTCCGGTTTGTTCGGCCATCCGCCTGTGGACCGGACCGCTTTGGGCGATCTTTGGGAAATTTCCTCAGTTGCTGAGCCCACGGGCCGTCAGACCAGCTGTGGATGAAGTGGTCGGAGGCTCTCTCTTCTTACATTTCCTACTATGAGATGCTCGAATCATCGGTACTATGAGTAGTCTTCGTATGATGAAGGAGTATATCGCAATTTATCGGCAGGCCCCGACCCCGCCACAGCCTGATGGCTCCTGGCAACAGCTCCGCAACGGCGAGGCCATGGGCACGTTGGCTTCAGTGGCCCAGTTCTTTCGTGGAGCTCCCGGCCTTCCGGGGAGTTCCATGTCGTGAACCACCTTTGTCTTGTTCCAGTTGCGGCGTGGTCACCGCCTCTGCGAATTGGAGCCAACAAGATTTTGTTAACTCGTGACGAGACGCGAGGGTTGGCGCCGCTGCCTCCTAGAGAAAAAAGTCAGGATGCAGCGCCAATTTGAAGTGACCTTCGAGAATGCACACCCGCTGAAGATCTTGAGTGGATCAGGCCTTGTTTCGTGATAGCTTCCAATTTAAAGACGGGGGCTGCCGCCGCTTTTTGTCACAGGCGCGCAGCACTCGATTGATCCAGACACCAGGTCTCTGCAGTTCTGTTTCTGCCCCGGCGGAGCTATCGTCCTGGCCAGTCCATGAGCAGATGCCAGCGGAAGTGTCTTTTCCGTCCTGGTGCTGAGCCCCCCTCCTGAAGAATCACCGGACGGTGTTGGTGTGCTAGTGTCAGGTACGAGAAATCTCCGTGGATTTTTGTCAGCTCTGACAAGGGCCACCACAGCAGTCGTCTTGTTTGAACTTCAGGAGGGTAAGATCGATTTTTTAATCCCTCGCTCAGCACGACTCCCCACAGTGTCCGGCTTGCGAGGGTCAAGACACGGGATCCTTGAGTACCCTCACCTCAGACTGATTCAAGAACTCAAGCGGAAAGCTGCATACCGTGTTCGGATTTTGACGGCGTCATGCTCCCGCGCTGCAGGTAAGTCAGAGGGAGAGTTTGCAGACACTTGCAGTAGCCGGCCGCTGTGGGCGGGGGCTTGGACGGCGGTGGTCAGTCTCTCCACGTCAAATGATGACAGCTGGAGCATGCCAAACTGTGTTCCTGACCCCAACTCGACTTGATTTTCGGGGACGCAGCCCGAGATTTCTTCGCAGCTAGGCACGAGAAGGCAACTGGCAAGCTCCAGAAACTTTGTAAGTGTGGAGAGATGACTGCCCATGCGTGCGTCTGCACATAGTTTCGATCGAGTCCTTGCGAGCATCCGTTCGGGCTTTGACAGGAGCTACACCGAGTTTCGCTCGAAGATGTCTGCCCATGCTCGAGCAGTTCAGCTTTGCATGATGGTGGCTTTGGCTCAGATGCCGGGCCAATGCAGCAAACCTAAAGCTCCCCAGGTCGGGGATGTGTGGAGTTTGTATATACATATATCTTTCTCTCTCTCTCTCTCTCTCTCTCTTTTTTCTTTCTCTCTTTTTAAGACTGTTAGAGCAATGCCCCAGGCCTCGTGGGCCCTATCAGCTACGGCCTGCAGCCGTCAGCAGCAAACACACGAAACTTAGCCTCAGATTACGCATGAAATTTGGGGGTAGGCCCGTGGCAGAAATCTTGAACCCCAAGGCTCCGGAGTCTACATCTGATTGGGTCGGTTCAGTAGTGCAGGGGTATGCGGATTCTCCGGGTTTAGGTAACAGGGATACATTGGACGCCATAATAATCTTCAAACTTACAAGGAGCCCTCCTCAAGGAAGCATGTCCTCTTGTGCTGCCAGCCACGCTCGACCTGAGCTGAAGGTGGTGGGATGCAAGTGCGAGCCTTTGAAGCCCTTGCCCATCAGGTTGTTCATAAGTTGACTTGTCGTTCCTGCGAGCTGGTCCAAAACGGGGCCAGCTGGAGCAACCGAGCGGCCTTTCAACCCGGTGCACCCGGACCTATGAAAGTCTCAGGGTCAGTGGCTGCACTCTCAAGGCAGCTCCTCAACTCTCCGAACCATCGCTCTGAAGGTAATTCCGAAAGCACTCCTCGCCAAAGAGTCCGGAGAATTTGAGAAGCAGCCGAAGGGGCGGAAGCAGAGATTCTCTGCAGAAGCTCGACCATCACAGGTGGACAACCCAGGCATCTCGGGTGCTGCACAGAGCCCTCAGCCCACGCCTGCAAGCTCTAAGCTACAACCCCCGGTAAATCCCACTATACTCCCAAAGGTTGGCCTTTCGTTCCCGAGGATGCTGGGTTTAGGGTTTAGGGTTTAACAGTCTTGTCATTGCACCCTTGCACTCGAGGGCATCGGCGCCTGCAAGTCTACAAACATGCCATTGCCAAAGTAGGCGTCAAGGCCATATTTTGACTTTTTCCCCCAATGCTGTCTGCATCTTTGCCCAACAAGAACCGGAAAGTTGGAACAGAAGCGTGCGCAATTAGCAGTACTGTTCCTTAGGGCTCCTTGTTATGGCAGCACCATAATCTGCCCCAAAACCGTCCCCGAAACCCCTATACGCCCTTAAACCCCTCTCAACCTCTAAACCCTATAAACCTCTAAACCCCCGAACCCTTAACTCCCCCCCCCCACCCTGTTTTTTCCTTCGCCCTGAATGCTAGAGCCATCTCTCTTCTTTGGTGCTAGGCTTTGTGGTCGTAGAGGGTAGGGTTTACTGTTTCGGGTTGACGGTTTAGAGGCTTAGGCTTTCGGGTTGAGGGGTTCGGGGCTTCGGCTTTAAGGTTGAGGGTTTAGGGGCTTAGGCTTTAGGGTTGAGAGGTTTGGGGGTTCCAGGGTTTAGGGGTTTTGAGCTCTTCAGGCTTCGGGCTTTGGCTCTCTTTGGGGGTGCTAGGGGCCTTGGGCTTCCGGGCTTCGGGGGCTTAGCGTTGCGCTGTTCGGGTTTTAGGGTTCAGGGGGTGCAGGCTTGTCCTCGGCCCCAAGCCCGGAAACCTAAGAAACGAAGCCTGAACCTCAAACCCGAAACAAAAACACTAGGCCCTAGACCTCAAGCCCAAAACTTAGACCCAGGCCATTCCAAGAGGGCTGTGCAGTCTGCACCCGAGAAAGGTTCGACTAATGCGGAACAACATCTCCTGGCAAACATGGACATACAGTCTAAGCAGAGCAGTGTCCCGTGCCACGCCTCGAGCTTGAATGTTTCACCACAGGTGTTGCTTATTCTAGGGGCCTAAATAATTACCTGCGCAATTTTTTTGGGAAGTCCTTATTACATTTATGGTAGAATGGACCCCAGAACCTTGTTCTAATATAATCAGGTCCTTCTAGTATAGTACCCTTATAGAACCCACTAAGGGGGCGCCATTCTAATTACTAAGGCTCAGGCCCCTATATTAGGGCTTCGGGTTTATTGGGACCGCAGGGTTCGGGGCTCGTGGCGAACCCAGAGTCTCCAAAACCCCCTTAATGAAGGACTATACCTTAAAATATAATAGGGATACCTAATATGATTAAAGGTATATTCCTGCATTAGGGGGTTTTGGAGGCTTTGTGGGAACTGCTTTCTTGTGTTTCAAGCTGACTCCGCGTCGAAAACCGAGAAACGGCAGCCGCGCCAAAGGAGGCAAAATGGAGTCGTGAAGGTTCCCTTACGACTTGACTCCGGGGACGGTATTTCCGGGTAGATGAGGCTTTCTAATGAATGATAGTGTCATTGCAAGGGAAATGAATCAAAATCCTGAACAGTCAGATCCCAATATTCCTTGACGAGGGCCATGCATAGAGGCTCAGAGGACTTAGTAACTTAACAACCAGCTTGTAATACGTAGTTATTCATTCATGTCGGATAACCCTGCCGAACTATCTCAACCGCTTCTTGTACCCACTTGCTTACAGCTACAAGCTTGTCGGAGAAAGCTTACATTACAGCCCAGAGAAGGATCAATCTTACTCCCTTCTTATGCGTTTGCAAACGAAGGGGTGTGCGATTCAATGCAGCAGCCCAGTACCCAGAGACTCCAAAATCGCTTAATGAAGGAACATACCATAAAGTATAGTAGGATCCCTTTTATGATTTAAGATATATTCCTTCAATTATAACAGGACCCCTTTCATGATTTAAGGTATACTCCTTCAATAAAGGGTGTTGGAGTATCTGGGGAACTGTCTGTTAGCCCAAGCCTGAGCTGAGGTTTGCAACTGAAGAGCCAGGGGTTCCGATCCCCTTTCTTTGGTCCGGTGCCCGGAGAGCCCAATACACGTTAATTAAGGAATATACCTCATATAATTAGGGTATCATATATTATGATTTAAGCCATATTCCTTAGTGAAGGGGTATTGGGCTCTCTGGGTGGCCGTTTGGGCTAGGGCTGACTTGGAGGTTCATGGGACTGAGTAAGTAAGGTTATAAGTGCCTTAACTAGGATTATAACGACTTGTTTTGCGACTCTATTTATAACCCTTGGTACGAAGTCCCATGAACCGTTAAGTAGGGTTTGGGGTTTAGGGTCGGCTTGCTGGCATGAGGTAGCAATCGACCGGAAACCAACTGAAGACCCAAAGCCACGATTCCCACCGCCGGCTTCGCAGGCATCGTAGTTCGGACAAGGATGTGGAGTAGCGACAGCAGTCACGAAACCACATTCCTCCACATCTCACCGGAGCAACATACGCATGAATGAAGAGATGGTTACGAGGTGTGTTCCAAGATGAAGTGTCTGAAGGCTGTAGTGACTGTGGTGGAGAATGGACCCCAGAGACTAGGCGCCGAGGGCTACTCGCAGTTTGCACAGCGACACCACTCCAAGAACCTCTACATTTCAGTTCGCGAAGATTCGTCATCGGATCACCGACGGCCCGGGCGGCGGAGCCTCCTTCTGCCATGGGAGCACGGCAGAGTTGTACCAAGGCCGGTGGGTGTCGGAGGGCTTCGCTGATGACTTCCGTAACTACAGCGACGACGACGACGACTACGACTCCTCCTGCTACTCCTCCTCCGCCTTCGTCTCCTCCCCTCCTCCTCCTCCTACTGCTGCTGCTATTGCTATTGTTATTGCTGCTGCTACTACTACTACTACTACTACTACTACTTCTACTACTACTACTACTGCTACTACTACCACTACTCCTGCCTACTAGCCACCCCCCCCAACTACACTTGTTCCATCCGGGCTGGGCAGCGGTAGCTGCTAGGCGCCTTAACTGCGATAGTTGCAGAAGATGCAGTGGCTCAGGCTCCTTATCTGTGACACTTGCAGACGTTGTCGAGGCTCAGTTTCCTTAACTGTCACAGCCGGTGAAGTTGCAGGGGCTCAGGCCCCAAAACTGCGGCAGCAGCTGGAGTTGCAAGCTCGACGGGGAAGAAATTGCTAAACCGCAGGTGGTCGGATAGTACGAAAACGCTGTAAATACCGTGCCAAACGCAGGTGCTGCCAAGAAGGGTTTAACATTTCTAAAACCTGAAGCGCAACATCTTCTAAACATCAAAAACAAAGATGCCAGCTGTACGTGGGAGGGGCTCGCCAACACTCCTACCGCCCAACCTCGGCGTAGGCGTAGGAGGGTCTGTTTTTGAAGTGGTGTGTGTGGTGTGTGTGTGTGTGTGTGTGTGTGTGTGTGCGCGCTTGAGTGTGGAAATATTGTTCAGGGTATCCGCAAACCAGTGTCGTGATCATCACCGAAGAAGCTTTCCCCCACCCAATTTCGAGTTTTTCGCAAACGGTTCGAAACAGCAAAGGTTAATACGCATGGTCGAGAAGTAGGGGCTCAGAATATGTAACAGAGTCTGACATTACGAAAGTATCCTAAATACCGAGTAAAACGGCTCTTGTGGTGATACTGTTGGGTGTGTTTGCGTAACACTGTCATCATCATCCCCCCCACCTCCGCACCCCCCCAGAAGCAAGTCCAAAATCAAGAGCCCGAGTTTGCAACTCGACAGTGATGATCGCACATGACGAAAGTGCCGTAAATACCGAGTAAAATTGACGTTGTCTTAACATGGAGTTAAGAGCAAGTGTAGTTGGTAGGCGGGGCTGCCTACTACTAGTAGTGCTTCTGCTACTACGACTACGACTACGACTACGACTACGACTACGACTACGACGACGACGACGACGACGACGACGACGACGACGACTACTACTACTACTACTACTACTACTACTACTACTACTACTACTACTACTACTACTACTATTACTATTACTACGATGATCACGGCTGCAACTGCGACGACGACTGGGGCGACGGCGCCACGACAACCACGATGACTGCGATGACGGCGACGACGGCTACGACGGCTACGAAGGCTACGACAGCTACGATGGCTACGACGGCTACGACTACAACTAATGCTGCCGCCACTGCTACCGCTACTGCCACTGCACGGCTATAGCTACCGCTGCCGCCACCACCAGCACCAGCACCAGCGCTAATGCCACCACCGCCACCACCACCGTGACACCAACACCACCACCACCGCCACCACCGCTGCCACCATCGTAGCAATAGTCAGTCGCTGCAATTAGGGGGGAGGGGTTGGTGGGTGGTGCGTGGGCGTTCTTACATGACGAAGGACATGCATTTGATGGTTTTTCCAGGGTGTTGAATGCTTTCAGCTTTGGCTCGATTTTTTTTTACGTGTCTAGGCTGCTTTCTCAACTGCAACTAACGTTTTTGGCCTTTTGAGGCTTCCGGACAATTGCACCTCGGGTTTTTGGGTTTTTGGTTTGGGGCTTGGGGCTTGTGTAGGGCTACTGGTTTTTGGTTTGGGTTCGGGGGTTCAGGTTTAGTGCGGAACCTCTGCTGGACAGGCCTGCAGCAACTGTGCCGCGGACTGCACGCGGCCGGGGCAAGGCCGAGTGGTAGGTCTCATGCTCCAACCTGGGCCCAAGCATCTCGTGTAGGGAGAGGAGAGTAATGAAGCAATGGGACTTTGGGTTTCTCATCTTAGCTCTCGTAGGCCTTAAGCGCTTTAACACTAAACCCTGAACTTTCTGGTTTAGAGCCTGAGGACCGGGGATTTGGACCAGAGCTCCGTGGGGTAGTCGCCTCCTGTTGAGGATTTAGGGTCTAGAGTCCAGGGTCTAGTCTAGGGTTTAGATGCTTCTTCAGCTGGCCTTTTTTGAGACCCTCTGGTTGAAAGCTTCGGCCATTCTCGCGGCCCATCAACCTAAAACCCAAAAATCTGCACCCCCCTGGACTCTAAACCTGGAACTCTTTTCTACTGTGAACCCTACACCCTGAACCCTCTGCCCCGAACTTTCAGACCTTAACCGCCTTAGCCCTAGCTGCCCTGGCTTTCGGGTTTAGGATTGGGAGCAATGTTCCCTCCTTCTGGCTCCTCGCACCGCCCTCCATGAGTGAACGCGCGTGCGAAACAAGGCTACAGGATCGAAGCCGGCGGGTTAATGCACAAGCCAGAACATGAGGAAGTACAAATTCCTTTGGTTCCGCATTCCAGGTTTGGTACGCTATACGATACCCTAGACCCCAAATCCTGTTTGAAAGACTTTCCGAGAGCTTTAAGGGTTTTGGGTGCGGTTACCGGGTTTAGGATTCTGGGTTAGGGTTCTAGGGTTGCAGGGGTTTAGGGTTCGGGGTTTAAGGGGCTGCGGGTGAGACGGGAGTTGCCATGGACTTTGCCCTGCGAGTAGCCGAGTCTACGGCTTTTTCACTACATGCCTTTATTGGAATCACAGAGCCATGCCATGGTGCTTTGGACTTTACTCTGCAGGTGAAGGGCTCTTTGCCCAGGTATTTCTGGCCTCTTGCCGGTCTTCTCTTGGGCGTGGTGTCTTATGCGAACTTCTCGGGTTCACAAGAAGCCGTCTTGTGTGCGCAGGCATATGTGGTGGCCTTTCATACTGGCGCGATGTTTTGGCATTGGCGTCTCCAGCATCACCCCGTGTCGGTCCTGGCCCCTGGCGTCTTCGTAGCCCTCGCGGCGGTTGTTGCATGGCTGCGGCTGAACCTCCTCCTGGCTCTCCTGGGGACCTGTGCCTCTGCAGGCATTGGGCTGGTCTTGGGCTACCTGCTCGTGGTTCCGCCACCCGTCGACGCTCAGCCCCTCCTCCAGTGAGCTCCGCGCTCGAGTCTCTGCAAAACTGAAGCTGCTGCTGATACAGCCGTGAACTACTACAGGGGCCTAAATACCATTACCTGGACTATTTTGGGGGCTCCTCAGTATAGTTATGGTATACTGGGCCAAAAAACCCTATACTAAGTATTACGGCCCCTAAACCCGGAGCCGCGAAAACCTCGAAAAGTGCGGCAGGCACCGCAGAAATTGTGACATGCAGATCCCGAAGTTGTCCCACAAAGAGGTTTTGGGGCTCATGATACTATAATTATCTGCCCTTCCCGAGTTTAACCTGGTTCAGGGTTTTGGGTTTAGGGTGCATGCAATCGTGGACTATGTCCAGTGTCGGGTTTCGACACAGCTTGCACGGCTTAAACTTTGAGCCCAGCAGCCCGCAGAGTTACAGATAATGTAGGGGTAAAATTTTACCGACACACCATTTTGGGGGGCTACTTAGAATAGTACAGAATCCTCCAAATCCTATTCGAACTACTTAGGCCCCTATATGAAGCTTCCCTAGCCGTATTCCTGAATGGCCGGTATCAAGGCAAATGGTCTTGATGCCTCCGGTAGCCCAGGCACACCCAGAGACTCCAAAACCCCTTAATTAAGGAACGGGCTTTGAATTGTGATAGGACCCATCATATGATTTCAGGTATTCTCCGTGATTAAGGGGTTTTGGAGTCTCTGGGCAAGCGACTGTTAGCATGGAGACGCTACAGAAGTCCTGCAGAGCCTCGAGTCCCGGAGTGTTGTCAGGCTATGGCGATGACTTCGACGACGATCGGCCTGGTGGTGACCCCGCAGGACGCAGTCGGGAAAGTGAGCTGATGGAACCGGTGTACTTTTAAGTCTCAGCCTCCGGAAAAGCTTCGGAGTGGGAGGCCCAGAACAATCACTAAACCCCACCGGCAAAATTCAAAAGCAAAACGACGACCCAATTTTGGAGGTTCCTTATCACCTGCTAAACAAAAGAAACTATAGCAACTATAGTATCCATAGCAACTATATATAGTAGCTGATAGTAGCTAATAGTAACTAATAGTAACTAATAGTAACTAGTAGTAACTAATAGTAACTACAGTAACACTAGTAACTCCAGAATAGAATGCACCCAAAGCCCTCTTGAAAGCAAGAAGTTGAGCCCCACAGGAGCCACTTTCGAGGAGACCTTGGAGGCCCAAAGCGCCTTAGGCTTTCGGGTTGCTACAGGGTCTTTACAAGGGCTCCCACTAAGGCTTTCTACTCAATGTTTTGGCTTTGTTTGTTTGTGGAGGGAGGGAGGGAGGGAGGGAGGTTGGGGTTTTTGGTGATTTGGCCTGGCTTGTGGGTTGGACGGGATCGTCTAGCTGGCTTTCGTCTCACCGGAATGTGTCTGACAGTCTGACGGGGTCGAAGCTCGCATTTGCCGCGCCGGTGCACTGGAGCGAGAAAGAGGGAGAGGGTTCAGCACGTACAGCAGTTCTCTTAACTCATTCACGGCTCCTGTAATGTAGTGCCTCACAAAGTGCTGTGCGAACTTGCATGTTTCCGCGGGATGGTAGTTGGCCAAACACACATGTTGAGATTGTACTTGTCTGCCGTTTTGGCCAATACACCATCTCCGACATTTACCGCCTCGCAAAGGTCCGCAACAAGTGGGCGGGCTTAACGGCTTAACGTTCGAATGCTTGACTCGCCCCCGAAGCCTGGGAGGGAGGGAGAGAGAGAGAGAGAGAGAGAGAGAGAGAGAGAGAGAGAGAGAGAGAGAAAGAGAGAAAGAGAGAAAGAGAGAAAGAGAGAAAGAGAGAAAGAGAGAAAGAGAGAAAGCGAGCGAGAGAGACACAGGGAGAGAGAGAGAGAGAGAGAGAGAGAGAGAGAAAGAGGGGAAGAACAAAGCTTGACGGTGCTGAAGAGAGAACAGGAGAGAAAGAGACAGCGAGCAGAGGTACATATGTCTCTATCTACACGTGCACATATGTGTATACGACTGTGTATGTATGTATGTACGTACGTATGTGGATTGTATGTCCTTATACGTATACATCAACATGTGTGTGTATGTGTATGTGCAGGTGCAGGTGTAGGTGTACGTGTGCGTGTACGTGTACATGTATGTGTACGTGTACGTGCAGGTTCAAGTGCAGGCGCATGCGCATGCGCATGTGCATGTGTATGTATGTGCATGTGCATGTGCATGTGCATGTGTATGTGCATGTGCATGTGTATGTGCATGTGCATGTGCATGTGCATGTGCACAAAGCCTAGACCCCCTGGACCCTGTGAGCAGGACCTGAACAGTTTGGATCGGCACTTGATGCTGTTTTGCGCCTCGTCGAACCTGGCGGCGGTGCGGTGGCTGATGCAATTAGGCACCCTCGGGACAGGGTTTAGGCGCAAAAAGGGTGTTCGCATTGCAGCTATATCGAATAATATACTTCGGCCCCTAGAAGGGGGTTCGTGTATAAGTACGTTAAGACCTAAGTAGAAGCTATATAGGTACATGGAGCCTCAGGGTAGAGGGGAACCGGAAGAGAGGGGTCTCAAGACGGGAAGGTTCTTGGCTTCAGGAAAAAGTGTACCTGCGACCATGGAAAGCCAGGGTCTGGTGCTTTGCTTGAAGGTCCCAGCCTTCTTTCGAGCTAGAGGCTTTGAGTTTGAAAGACGCAATGCCGAAACCCTAAACCCGAAAACTTAAAACCCCAAGCCCAAAACCTTAGCCCTAAGCCGTAAGCCCCAGATCCCTAAACCCCTAAACCCCTAAACCCCTAAAACCCTAAACCCCTAAACCCTAAACCCAAGACGAAGACTTCCTGTGACCTCCCGTCATCGCTCCCCGGCTCGGGCTCGCAGGCGCCAGGTGGGATGCCTGCGATGCAAACAGCGCCTCGGCCTGCGTTAAAAAAAAGGAGTCCTAGAGGGTTCCTAGGGTTCCTTTAAAGCGGTCCTCTAGGGGTTATAAATATAGGGTTTCCAGGGTTCCTTTAAAGGGGTCTATAAGGGTTACTATAAGGGCTATTATTGCCTTGTTCCTTCGAGTGCACCTCCCTCGTCTTCGTCGTCCAGATATGAACCGGAACAGCACAAGTAAGAATCCTCCCTACAGTCCCTTCATAAGTATGCTGTAATATGCCCAACAGAATTTGTACTATATTTCTTCAGGCCACCAAAAGTGGGCCCAAGAGAGCTTGCATACATGGAAGCGTACCTAGTAACCGTATTAAATAGTCCCTATATGAGTTTCAAAGCTCTGACAGAAAGGCACGACCTGCCTCCACGTCGCTTGCCGCTCGGGAACGCTGTCCATCGTCAAGGTGGGTCGCAGTACGCGGCGAAGCTCTTCAAGACTCTTTGTAAGATGTAGGGTTATAATAATGATAGCAGAAGATGTTATGATTGTTCTTTTTGATATTGTTATTTATTGTTAGTTTATTTCATTGTTATTGGTGATACTCTTACTGTTGGACCGATAGTGTTATTGTTGTTATTGTTTGACTATGACAACTACTATCGCTGTTGCTACCTATGATTCCTATCATTCCTATTATTACTGCGATTTCCTATTCTTCCCATTATTTCTATGATGCCTATAAGTTTTGTACCATTCCTGCTATCTCTATTAAAACTATTCTGTCTGTGATGCCTTGCCTACCATCCTTGTTATTCCTACTATTCCTATTACTATTACTGGTATTATTGCTACTGCGATCACGGTTAATATGTTTGCTACTTACTACTATTATGAACATTACTAGTCGTCTTCTTCCTCTTATTGTCAGTATTATGCTGCCACTAGCATTATCTGAAAGATGATTGCCATCTTTAGCAAAACAACATGTTATATCGTTGGTTTGAAAGGGTTCTTCTATAAGTTCTATGAGTTGAAAGATTCGGGTCAAGTGGGTTCGATGGGCGCAGGTTTAGAGGGGCTTCGCCTTTGAGGGTTTCGAGCCTTGTCTGAACGGTTTAGGGTTTAGGGTTCCCAGAGAGCCCAATACCCCTTAATTAAGGAATATACCTTAAATCATAATATGAATCCCCTTCTGATTTGAGCTAGATTCCTTAATTAAGGGGTATCGGGCTCTCTGGGTTGAGGGAAACGCTGGGCTGGGAGTGTCACGGTAGGTGAGCTGAGGGCAGACGGCAAGCTCTTGATGGGTCATTGCGGATGAAGTTTCGGTGCCCTTGGCCCGTCTTTTTGGGGGTGTGGAGAGGGCATTTGGTCAAGGGAGCTTTGCGCTCTGCTACTTGAAGGTTCATGGAACTGGGTATAGCTAGGGTTCTAAATGAGGTACACGTACGTTCATTGACTGCAACCCCAGTTAGGGTACTAATACACGCACTAAGTGATCCTCCAAGTACATGTGCAGGTAGGACCGGGTCTTGAGCTGCAGGCCCAGCACTGTTGCAAGAGTGTAGCGCGCCGCAGACCAACACGTCTTCGGCTGCACAACATGTTGTGAAACCATCCTTCAACCCAACACCCGAAACCCCCCAAAAAATATCAGAGAGACCTCTCTCCTCGCTGGAGTCTCAAAACCATTCCAGAGCTCAGCGCCCGGCCTTGAACCCTCCTCGCCGCAGGAAATGATGGAGCACAGGCAGTTACTCGAGGTGGGGGCCTGATATGCAAAGTCGGGAGAGTTTGCGAGCTTTCTGGCTCCGCCGAAGCACTTTTCGAAAATCTAGACTTGTCGGAGGTGTTGGAGAAAATGAAGACTGCAGGTCACTCGTTTCTCATAAACCATCCCCTTCACTCCGTTGCTGGTTTGCTTGCTTGCTCGTTCTCTCAGTGCATGAATGCGTAGTTGCCACGGAATCTCTGATGCGGTTCAACGCCTTACTCATTGTAACGGTAACGGTAACGGCTGTAATCAGCCTTAGAGGTACATTTTTTGGAATGATTATCGTAGCCTTTATAGGAGCCCGCAAAGAAGGCTTGAAAAGAGCCCTACTCTTAGCTTAGATCCCACACCCTAATCCCGAAACCCAACACTCGTCGTTAGCCCCAGAACCCTATACCATCCTAAGCTCCACAACTCTACAGCCCTAAACCTCCTGACCCTCTAACCCTCTAACCCTCTAACCCATAACACTGTAACCTTATAACCCAAGATTCCCCCAAAAGGCGATATACTATAATCATCTAATCAGGAACCCCCCCAAGCATGGTATTGTTGGTAATGATCTAGTTCTCTATAGTCGACCGTTCGAGGAAGCCTGGCAAATCCCATGAAGGAAGATGAAGGAGCCCTCAAAGAGCCCTGAAAAGAATCCTTCCTCATCCCTGAAAGGAGCGCTTAAATGAGCCCTTGAAGGAGCCCCTTCAAGGAACCCCTTAAAGGAGCCCCTTAAAGGAACCCCATGAAGGAGCCCCTTAATGGAAGCCCTTACAGGAGCCCGTTAAAGGAGCCCCTTAAAGGATCCCCGTCAAAAGGCGGTGGACATGGCTGGCTGGACCCCTTTGCACATCGCGGCCCGGAGCTCGCGAGCTGCCTTGGTTCTTCTTGCTGTAATCTGGGGGGGTGGTTGTCAAAATTATGGTCCCTTTTTTGGTACCCTAAATATTAGGTGCCCTAATATGGGCAACCGCCTAAGGGTGTCTATAATGCAGGGGATATTTTTGGGGTGACTATAATTGTGCTGTACGGGATAGATTGGGTTACTGTAAGGGGTGACAGTAAGGGTTCCTATTGGGGTTCACGTTCGACGTCTGGCGATGTCTGCGACGCCTCGTTTCGTGATGAGAGTTTTTTTGGCTTTGTGCTGGACTCTAGTTACCTTGTTTATACTTGGAGGATCATGGGACTTAGTATGTACAGTTATAAGTACCTTAATTGGCATTATAACTACCTAGAAGTACAGTTACCGTGTTTATAACCCCAGTTACTGAGGCCCAATGAGCCCTTTTAAGTAGGTTCCCAAAGCCTAGAGTTGAGTCCGGCAGGCCTCAGGTCCATGAGCAACCGGGCACGATGATCCGGTTCTACAAGGGGCACTTTTGGGAGTTTCTGAAAATGAGGAGTACCTTATTTTGGGGTCCTTATAATAAGGATCCTATTATTTAGGGTATTATTTTAGGGTTCCCTCTTTTCGGAAACTCCTTTCTCGTGAAAACTGCAGCTTCAGGTTCACGTCGGCCGCCGTGAGGTTGTGATCCGGCTGCTGCAGGCGGGCCGGGGGGAGTGCCGGTGTGCCGTGGGAAGTGGGTCTCCGACGTGTTTTTGGCGCTTTGGAGTGCGGCAGAAAGCCCGAAGCCCTCCAGCACCAGCAGGTCAGATTGTCGCACAAAAGACTAGCGTCGAGCACATTGGAGATGGGGCCCTACACCCTGAAACCCCAAATTTCAGCATTGAGAATTGATGGAACTCAATGATATCGAGCCCCTGCCCCACCATGGAGCAGGTCGTCATCGCTGCATGCTTTCGCTCTTTGTCATGACTTGTCATCAAGTATCACGGTCGTCATCATCGCAATCATCATCGTTATCTTCTTCTGAATCTTTTCATCTTCATCTTCATAGCGTCGTTATTGCTCTGGGGAGCCATCGTGTCGCTCTAGCTGCATGACCCTCCATTTGTGTTGCTTTCATTACTCTGGCCTTCGTCTTATTCCTGCCGGCCTTCTTCTCGAGGGACGCCTGCTCCTCAGTGAGAAATGGTAGGAAATGTCAACATGTAGCAGTCTAGCGACGGTCATCATGAACAAGCTCGACTAGCCCCATCTCCAATGAAGCAGCTTCAGTACTAAGAGTCTTGGTATTACGTGTGGCAATCCAGGTATGACTGTAATATAGGGGCCTTAACAACTATTTTGGGGGGTCCTTGTTGTAATTATTGTATACTGGGCACCAAAACCTTATTCTAGTTATTATAAGACCCGGGGTCTTAGACCCCTCTAGTAGTATAGAAGTATGACTTCGCCCCGCACGCCGATGTCGCTTGTTTGTTGGCCACCGCGTGAAGCCTTGCGGGGACGTAGTGGTAATATTCACATCTAGCCAGGTAAACACATGTTAATTGGGACCCTGCCCGAAAGCCCTTAACCCGAAACTTTTAACTTTAAACCCCTAGGCCACTAAACCCTGCAGGCCTAAACCCTAAACCCAAATGTAGGAACCTGATTAAGAAACCTGGGGCCTTTATCAGGGTCCCTTATATGAATCCTACTATGTTGGGGTTATGGGCCCAGGGTTTCTTAATCAGGCCCCTACAGTAAACCCGAAACCCAGCCCTTTACCACCCGCCGATCTCCAAGAGTCAGGCGGGAGCGAAGCTGAATCAGAGGAACAGCAAGGGTCAGGCCGGGCCCCTTCTGAGTGTGATACAGGGGCCTAAATAGATAGCGCACACTCTTTTGGGCCGGGGGTTCCCTGTTATAAGTATAGCATCATTACACTAAGCCCTAACCAGCTTTACTTGAAGGTTCATAGCAACTAGGGCTCCGCTTAAGGGTACTATAGGCCTCTATAGGATGCCCTTTAAAGGGTTAAGGTTTAGGGTCTGCTTGAAGGTTCATGGGACTTAGCAACTAGGGATATAAAAAGGTCACTATATGTATAAGTACGTATAACCACAGTTAAAGTGCTTAGAACCTTACTAAGTCCCGCGAACTTCCAAGAAGGGTTCATGGGCCGAGGGTTTGCGGTTGGAAGGTTGAGGTTCTTGGGTCTAAGATTTGTAGGACCTCGGGTTCATCCGGAAACGTAACCCTTTGGGTTCCCTTCTGCAGAGAAGCCCGCAGTCAGAGCAATACTGTCCTGATGCCAGAGCACCGCTCATCCTTAGTCCGTGCTCCAAGTTTCGGTGGGAACCCTTGGAAGGATAGCCCCATCAAGCATTTATTGCAGTTCGTGCCCCAAAACACTTTCGTATTCTACGTCAAACAATTTAAGTCTCTATAAAACCCTGTCATGCCCTGTAAAAACCACAACAAAGCCCTGAACAAAATTCACCCTAATATAACTTGAGGTCTATTCAACTCCTTAAACTATAAGGGACTGTGGAGTCTCCTTAAACCCTAAACCCTAAACCCCAAACCCCAAAACTAAACCTGGAGCCTCCCTAAACCCTAAACCGTCTCTAGAGTCGGCCCGGGAGGTGCCCTCCGAGCTCTGTGCAGACAATGGGACCTACGAGGCCTCCACTGAAGTTGTTTGAGGTCTACTCTGGGGGGCCTTACGGGTTCCTTTAAAGGGATCTATAAGGGGGCCTAAATAATTAACCGTACGATTTGGGGGGTTCCTGATCAAAGTGTGGTATGATATACTCATCACCCCGTTCTAACCATTAAAGCCCTTATATCAGGTGTGAGGGTTTAGACGCTGGTGCTTAGGATTTGCACGGGTTTACGGTGTAGGGTTCGGCTGTCTGAGTAGCTGGTTGCTTGTTTTGGTTTATGTCGTCTTAATTAGCGATACCCGATACCGGCTGCTGGCGTCATGTACATGTTTCTAGATGATTCTACTGTGCAATAAAGTTTGACGTCTACGAAGTTGACGTAGGTTCTCGCCGAGTGTTTGTGTCTATCTGGAAATGCAGATCGGCTTTAGCCGGATGTTCAACCCCAAGCCCCATGAGTTTATGTTCCCGAAGCCTTGTAATGCTGCCTGGAGCTCAGGCCATCCGCTCATACGAGATTCATCAGCTGAACTGGCACGTTTGGATGGTATTAAGTTTGGTTCACGATCCGCGATTGTCAGGATGAGGATGATGGCGAAGAAGATAATAATGATGATGGCGAAAACCACGGTGATTGTGATGCTGCTTGTACCGTTATCTTGATGCAGCCAAAGTGTTAGCACGGGATTGTGCTTGGAGAGTGCAGGAATGTTGGAGCAGTTAGAGAAGTGGGCATATGACGGCAGTTGCAAGGTTCTTCTTTGGAAGTCGTCGTGACGCTCCAAGCCCCAAGCCCCAAGCCTCCATGCTCTATGCTTCTCAGGAATCTGTGGAGCTTTGTCGAGAGATCTCAGCCCTTGTAGAGGTAATTTCCCTTGTGCTTGGAAACCTTTTAAACCATAAGACCTGAAATCTATAGAGTTCCACGAAAGCCGTTCTAATCCCCAGACAGATCTCTTATGGAATTTTAAGTACTTTGTCAGTACCCCCATAGAGCCCTTACAGTATCCTTCAGGCATCCTAAACCCTAAAGGTGTGAGCCCTTTGGGGCGAGCCGGATGTTTCTGCGCAGGGAAGGCCCAACACTCCAAAAACAAGCCAGAAACTCCCTAGACCCTAAACCCCTAAACCCTCAACCCTGAAACCCAAAACCCCTAAACCCTAAAAACCCCTAAACCCCTAAACCCACTTCGAAACCCCCGGAGCCAGGCAGCAAGGCGCCGGTCAGGCATGGGATTTTCCCCTGGATGCGCATCAGAACGAGGCCCTTGGCGCACATGGTGCTATAGCGTTTAGGTTTAGGGTCCTTTTGTTAAGGGCACTATAGGGTTCTATAGAGGTAACATGCGGTAACTATAGGATTCTATACCGGCGTTTAGGGCCCTTCTTTAAAGTTGCAAGAGGCTTCAACACTAGAAAGGCTGGAGGATCACATGGTACTGTAGGTTCCTTTCAAGGTTCCTGTGTGGGTTGAGGGTGTGGGGGCTACTTTCAGGATCATGGGACCTAGTAACTAGGATTAGGGTATTTGCATCATTCATAACTGATAGTAACCGCACTTCAGGTACTTATGAGTCCCATGACCCTCCAAGTAATCAAGCATTGCCAGAAACCCTCAACCCTCAACCCTAGCAATTCAGAAATGTAGTGCTGCACGAGCAGCAGGTGAAGCAGCTCTCGCTGCGCTCGGGCACAAATCAGAAGACAAACATTGGCAGCAGAGCACCAGAGCAAGAAGCGGCGTTCTTCTGCGGAAGGCCCCCCAAAAACCCGTGGAGGCAACTTAGAAAGACTTTGAGAGAGCGAGCCCTTTTGTATTTCTGACCAGTGGAACAGCTAGAGCCTTTTAGTCTGTCACTCTCCAAGTTGTCGACTTGGGGGTACATGGGACTTAGTAAATACACGTCTGAAGTTATAGGTACCTTAACTGCTGCTATGAGACACAAGCGAAAGACAGAAAGAAAGAGCGCGTGGTTTTTGCTTTATTCTATTAATTTCCCGTTCCACCCATTCCTCTTGTACTAATTATAAGAGAATTCTAGTATGTTCTATTTTATTACCTTTTCTAGTTCATGTATTATAGGAGAATTCCTGTATGTTCTAATCATTCATGCATTTAGGTCATATTTTGGATCTAAATTTTCGTATTTCATCATTTTCATTACCATTTTCTCTTCATCATATGCTTCTGTTTCATTTATTATTCTTTTCTTTTGTGTGGTCTTCTTCTTATCGTTCTTGCTTATTACATGTATGTTTACCTCATTTACAACCCTATAGTTGCTTTCTCCTATGATGCTTTAAGGAGCATGTCTTAGAGAAAGAGACCCGCTAGCAGAGACTCCACATGCCATGGCAGGACATTGTCGGAAGCCGGCTTCAATATGAGCCCTTCTTCGTTCCGCGGCAACCGGTCATCAGATCCCAGCAGTTCAAGAAGGACCCGCCGCCCTTGGTTTCCCAAACTCCAAGCCTTAGACCCTAAACCCTCAACACCAAACCCCAGACCCTAAACCCTAAACAGCAAACTCCAAACCCCTGACCCTTCAAACTGCTCCGCACTGTTTGCAGAGGTGGCCTGGGTTCCGCGCGGCCGGTGTTGATTGCTTGTCATGTTCCCCCCCCGGCGAGTAAAAATCACAACGGTAACAACAACCTCCGGGTGAGGGTTCCATAAAGGGGTCCATAAGGGTAACAAAAAGGGACCTATCAAGGTACTAGAAAATGGGGGCCTTACTAATTACCCACACCGTCTTGGGGTGTTCCTCATTATAACTACAAAAGTATAATGGGCCCCTAAACCCTATTAACCCTATGAACCCTAGTTTAATCATAAGGGTTCCGATAGTAAGGGTCTTCAAAATTTGCTGCTAGGAATAAAACTACAAACCTCGTTGTCTTCATACTGATCGAAGCTGCCTGTCCAAGAGCCTCATAATCACATTCATCCGAAGAACTTCTGAAATATTGCTTCAGAGTTTTAGCTCCACAACTCACGGCACAAGGACACGGAAGCCATGAGCTACCCTTAACACCGTCAAAGTCCCAGACCTTTCAAACTCAAGCCCTGCACTTGCAGCTGCCCCGGAAGGAGTTCCAGCGCATAGGGACCTTGATCTTTAACCGGCAGCCCGGGACCAAGCCAAGCAGCAAACGAAAAGTCGGTTTGGGGCTCAGAGAATACAGGGTTGAAGGGAGCTGTTGAGGTTCATGGTCTTTGCAACCATGGGGGGCGGCTTGAACGTGGAGGAGTAGTAGTAGTAGTAGCAGTAGTAGTAGCAGGAGCGGTAGTAGTAGTAGTAGTAATAGTAGTAGTAGTAGTAGTAGTAGTAGTAGTAGTAGTAGTAGTAGTAGTAGTAGTAGTGGTAGTAGTGGTAGTAGTGGTAGTAGTAGTAGTAGTAGTAGTAGTGGTAGTAGTGGTAGTAGTAGTAGTAGTGGTAGTAGTGGTAGTAGTGGTAGTAGTAGTGGTAGTCGTAGTAGTAGTGGTAGTAGTAGTGGTAGTCGTAGTAGTAGAGGCAGTAGTGGTAGGAGTGGTGGTAGTAGTGGTAATGGTGGTGCTGGTGCTGGTGCTGGTGGCACTGGCGGTACTGGTGGTACTGGTGGTAGTAGTGGTACTAGTGGTGGTAGTAGTAGTCGTCGTAGTAGTTGTAGTAGTGGCAGTAGTCGTAGTAGTGGTAGTAGTGCGGTCGTAGTGGTAGTAGTGGCAGCCGCGGTAGCAGTAGCAGCCGCGGTAGCAGCAGCAGCAGTAGTAGCATCGCTAGCAGCAGTAGCAGGGGTAGGAGCAGGAGCAGCAGCAGCAGCAGAACTCTTTCCGGAACCCTAATAGCTACTCTTGTGGACCTCTAGAACCTTCATAGAAACCCTCATCAGTCGGAACTCTTTTAGTAACCCGTATAGTGGCTCTTATAGTAGCCCTTACAGTAACCCGTATAGTAACTCTTATAGTAACCCTCATAGTAGCCCTTTCGGTATCTCTTAGAGTAGCCCGTATAGTACCCCTTACAAGGGCCCAATAGTAACCTAGTAACCCTAGCCCTAGCAATCATGATAACCTTTATGGCAGCCCTTATAGCAATCCTCAATCACTTTGTAATCCGTAAAGGAAGAACCCTTGTAGTAATCATAGACTCATAGTGACCCTTTTTGTAACACTTAGAGTATCCAGTCTACGTCTCAGTAATCTTAGTCACCCTTGCAGTAGCACTTCTCAATTAAAGAGCGCTGTACAACCTTCGGAACCCTGTAAGAGAACCCCGAAACGATCCCTTGTTCTACTTGTCCGGATTTCAGCTCCTTTAAAATTCTGGGCAGTGCCAGGCATTCAAATCACGCCTTGAAACCCTTAAGCCCGACACCCTCAACCCCTGAGGGTTTAGGGTTTTAGGGTTCTCTAAACCCTAAACCCTAAACTTGAAGACTTCAGCTCCGTACTAGGCCCGGCTTCGGGCTTGCCTTCCTGGTGGCCAGCGGCGTAGCTCGGGACTACCCGGTCCTGGGCCCCGGCTTTGGGTTTCGGGGTTTAGGGTTTTGGGGATAGGATTTAGGGCATAGGAGCCAGTGTTGAGGGTTTGAAGCGTTTCGGTTGATCATTTTCCTACTACATGGGGTCCACAGGAGGATCACAGGCTTCTGAAACTCTGGGTTTAGATTCTTTCTGTTGTGTGCACTGTGACATGCATGGATTTTGTGTCGACCGTGTGCAACCTCACACCTTACGCCCTAGACCCTCAACCCTAAACCCACCCCCTGAGCCCCAAGCCCTAAACCCCAAGGCCATACAGCCTAAGATGCTGTTTGTCTTGCCCAACCTTCAAGTACGAAGGATCCGAGAGGGCTTCGAGATTTGGGTTCCTCCAAGGGTTCTTTCAAGGGCGACTCTAAGGGTTCGATGATGCAAGGGCTAACGGTAATCAGGATTCTGTGTCATAGTATAGTAGAAGTGTAGAGAGGACAGGGAAGACCTCTCATTATTCAGGGTCTACATTAAGTAGGATCAAGGATGTCCTGTCGTCAACTTTGCCGGAGGGCTTGGAGGTTCATGGGACTTACTAGGTATAGTTATACGTACCTGAACTGGGGTGAAAATCATAGTTACTGTATTGATAACCCTAGTTACTAAGTCCCATGAACCTTCAACCCTAAACCCATCAGTATTGGTCTTTGGGCGGGAGCTAGGGCTCCGCGTCAACAACTATTCTGTACCAAGCCTCAAATCGAGCAAGACCTCCTCAATCCTCAGCGTAGTCTTAGGGGTAAGTAGAATTAATTTTCAATCTTTGGCTACTATAATCCCTAAGACACAGCCAAAATTATAATATCAGTATAGTACAGTTACATGGCCGAAACAGTGGCCAATACTACTCCTTAGGGTCCGTCATTATCATGGTGTTTTTGTTGTTCATATTTCCCCCAAGCCACATTCTAAGTATTAGGGCCCCTACATGAGATCCAAAACCGCCGATGAGCCGCGAGGTTGCTTTGTGCCGTTTTGATAGAAACCGTCCGTGCTTGCAGAGAGTCGTCCGAGAGGGACTAGGTCCATCAGTTCCAGCATGACTTCTACTGGTTGAGGGGAGAAAAGCTGCCAGGTCAAGCTTTGGCGAAGGACTGCAAGTGTAATCCTGCGTCAACAGGCCCTTTTCGGCTCCAAGTTCTTTGATGTAGAGCCATGCAGGCCATGCTTTCCTTTCCTCTGGCCTCTCGCAAGATCGCAGCTGCGAGGGTGGTGAACACTTTTCTCGTGTTTCCGGAGGAAGAAGAAGCTGGATGGCAGTTCGAGAAACTGTGTTATTTCCCTTACGCTTCTACAGGGATGAGATACCTATTCACTACTCACTTCCTAAATAGGTCTGTTTGCCCTCAAGCTACAACTCAGGAAGGTAAAGAAATTAAAGGACAAAGCCCCTTTGAGCTACGCCGATGCAGCTCTGAGCCGCCTGGCTGGCTTTTTCCCGGCCAAGAGGACTTGGAGCTGTCACCAACGGTATCAACGGCACAGCGAAATCGGCAGGATTGCATCCTGTCCGCCACAGTCCATGGGAAAAAATCCCACGCCCGAGGCACTCTTGGGTTGTCTGAGGCAGGTTTCGGATGCCTGGAAGGCGATGCTATTTCCATGGGAGGCAGGACGGGGGGGGATCGGGCTTCGGGAGCAAAGCACTGCAATCGTGACGGATGCCCCGAAGAAGCGTTACAGTAGAAGAGAGCGCAGGTTCGATTTGAAGAGTTTGCTTGGAGAAGTCAGTTTTTGATAAGTTTTGAGCGACAGGCACTGAAAGGGAAACCAGGGCATCGAAACGGCACTTTTCCTTGCGCCATCCCGATCTCCCCCTCGATTACCTGATGTACATCTTGATTTCCCTCGGCCTGCAAAGAAGGAGCCCCCCAGTTTACATCCTATACAGTAGGGCCCTTACTCCAATTTGCAGATGGCCCCTCTGCCCTGGCTTGCTGTCTCTCCCTCCCTCTCTCCGTCTCTCGCTCTCTCTCTCTGCCCTTCGAAGCGATGTATCGTGTATGCTTTCGGAGGTTCCAAGCGTTCACTCGGAGACTTCCAAGGTTTGTTGTTTGCGCGAACCGGGGGTTTACAGCCTGCAGAGGTTTAGGGTTAGGCTTTAGGGTTTAGGCTTAGGTCTAAGGGTTTAGGTCCTAGGGCTTAGGGTTTAGGTTTTAGGATTTAGGGCTGCCAAGACCTGACATGATCTGAAAGGCTCTGAAAACCCAAAGCTCAAGCGAACCTAAAGCTCGTGCCTCTCCAGACGACGCATATGTCGGCGAGGAGGCGGGAACCAACCAAAGGTTCAGATATGGGGGTTGTCTGTCAGGGTTTCTACTACTACTACTACTACTACTACTACTACTACTACTACTACTACTACTACTACTACTACTACTACTACTACTACTATACTACTACTACTACCACGACTACTACTACTACTACTACTACTACTACTACTACTACTACTACTACTACTACTACTACTACTACTACTACTAGTACCATTACTACCATTACTACTACTATTACTACTACTATTACTACTACTACTACTACTACGACGACGACGACGACGACTACTACTACTACTACGACGACTACTACCACAATGGTGTTCTTTAAGCCGTTTCGCTCTAGGACTGTCATGGAAATTTTGGTTCGCAGGATTTCATGGTTGAGATTTTGGGTGTCAGAGACGTAGGTGAAGGTGCTGCCTCAGTGCGCTTGAATGTGATGGCTTTTGCGCAACGTCTCGGCTGCCTGGCTTCGGTGTTCACGGAAATATGTTTGCTGTTTGAGGCTTTGTGCTTGAATGGAGTTTGAGGTTACAGGCTTCGTGGTCCGGGTTTCCCGCTGTCGGGGTTTGGGGTATCATTAACTTCGAGCTTCTTTCAAGCTTTTGGATGAGGTGTCCTTTGAAGAGCCAAGGAAGCTCGAAGTTTCGGTGTGAATGTAGACATGCATCGCTCTTGGTCACCCTCGAACTACCTGCTATGAAGTCAAAGGTTTACGGCCTACAGGGTGATGACTCAGGACGCCCCAAAACATGAACCCTAAGCCCAACACGGAGGTGAAGCTCCAGTTGCATGCAGCCGGCCTCTGCCGACCTTGCAGGCTCTGTGGGTCTTCAGATGCTTTGGCGGAGCTCCTGTACTATGGAAGCTTGGTTTAGGGTTTAAGGTTCGTCACCAACATGATTCCTGAGGGTTCCGCTGTGACTGCAGTAGAACATGCCCCTCAACTGTTAATGCTGGGAGAGCTGGGGTTCTAGGGAGCCATAACTGGCGGCTTGGGGGGGCTCTTTCTAGCCTTAATCAATGTCTCGCGGCCTACTTTCGTAGTAGGAATATCCCCTTGACGCGCCCTTTCGACGAGATTATTATTCCTCTACACCCGAACCCTATTCCCATTGGTAAGGCCTTTACATGAGCTCCAAATACCCCCTGGTTCCAAAATAGGTGACTTTACTTATTAGTTATGACGCCAATTAACGTACTTATAACCTACCTTCCTAAGGTAACTATACTTATAAACGTAGCCACTAGCGGCAGGTTCTTCATGCTCCACCCGGACTCCTGCAAGAATGGGGCCGCTTGCCCCTACTGCCATGTCTGCAGCTATGACGAGGCGATCAAGGACAAGAGGAAGGCAGGAGAAGTCCGCCCAGTGGAAAGGAGGTGCTTTCAATAAGTTCTTCAAAAGGAGAGATCAGGGTTTTGCGGCGTGTTGTGCTATATATACTTATACATCGTGGGCGTAAAAATGCGTCGAAATACTGAAGACCATTTCTAGGGCCCATACCATGAATAGCTATTGCTAGAAAATCTGGCAGCTGAATGGGGGAGTCATGCAGCAATTCTGGCATGTGGCCTCTCGCCGTGGTGTCAGCCCAATTGCCTGACGCAGCACACTAAACCCTAAACCCTGAACTTTTGTCAGCGGAAGTATCGTTTCGCAGGCGAAGCACATGGTACGACAGCGAAGACGCAGACAGCGATCGCTCCTGCATGAGTCTTAGGACCGCCGTCCCACACCCTTCCAAAGGCCGATAAAGAAGCCTGAAAATCCTGAAGGCTTGGTCCTAAGCATCCGAAGTGCTGGAGTGGATTTTTCAAGTTCGCACATCTCAACAGGGCTCCGTTGGACCCTAAACTCTAAACCCTGAGCCCTAAAACCTTTCCCAACCTTTCCGAGACGGAAGTTTGCCCTGATGATGGTTGTTTTTTAACGCTTTCTTTAACGGCTAAGAAACCCTAGACTCCAATCCCTGGAAGATCCTGCAGAAATATTCAGATGTTTACACTCATGCTAGCCGGATGTTCCATACCAGAGCTACAACTGCTGCTACTGCTACTACTACTGCTACTGTGACGACTGCGACGACGACTACGACGACGATGACTACTACTACTACTACTACTACTACTACTACTACTACTACTACTACTACTACTACTACTACTACTACTACTACTGGTACTAGTGGTACTAGTAGCGACGACACCAACAGTACATCAAGAACACAATGAGGAATGGCTGTCATCGTGCGTGAGATACTTGTATTGTACACGCTGCGGAGAGTTCTTCATACTCACAACCTGTGTTTGGATACAAGAATGCGAGTTGTACAACCTGTGCGATTCACGCAGTAATGCCAGTGCGACACAGGAAGAGGACTAGCAAGACGGCACAGTGCACAGTTTGTTGCATGAACTTTTGTTGAAATCATAGACACATTCGCCACAGCACATCTCAGACAATACGACATTCATCTGGTTCCTGATATTGACTATCATTTTCCATTTTTTTTCACGCTTCTTCTCAATCCTGCAGCTGCCGCCGCGTCCTTGATGACGTGTGAGTGACAGGTCACACCTCTCTCCAGCCTTTGTGGAGCTACCCCGTCGTCTTCTTGATGCTGCTAGGATGTTTCATCGCAATCTCGAGCGAATTCTGCAGCGTTCATCGTTGCCCTGGTCGCGGCATTA